AAAAAAAAAAAAAGTGCGTCTCTCCCCCCCCCCCCCCCCCCTCCATTTTTATTATTATTTTTTATATGAAATAAGTACTTTTTAATTTTCATAATTCACAATGTATCATCAGAAGAATCACCTCTGACCACTGCATAATCTAAAATACCTTCAGCCGCCAGCATCCATTTTAAAACAATCTTGCCTTTAAGCCAAATACACACTGAAAATAATAACAAAATTATATCTGAGTGCGAGTCATATTCTTTCCGCAATCTGATGAAATTGTCCATGTTTTCTCTGCTTTAGCGCTGTTTTGAACTTACTGTTTGAATTCGCTTACTGGATCCATGGACTTTCCAGATTTGAACCGGTTTAAAATGATGTGATCGCAAAAACCTGCTTCTTTTCATTTTTAAGGTATTGTTTTCGTTATAATGTACTGATTCAAATGAGTAATCAATAATTATTATTATTCTACCACTCATGTGCGCCTCCCCTTATGGTCTCACGCCCCGCACATCGAAACCTCCTGATGAGTTAGACCGACTCTGCTCAGAAAGTGATTTGTCGAGACGAGAGGTGACGCCTCCTGGTAGTGTGATTTATATAGTGTCATTTCTAATCACCCAGACACTGATGCTTTGACTCTGAGTACCAGCAACATATCAGAAGTGCCGGTATGCATGAAAAAGTGTCAGTACGCTAAAGACTAAAATATCGAAGTGCCGGTACTGCATACCAGTGCGTACCAGCCCACTTCAAGAACTGCCTGTACTTCTGCCTTGAGCATTTCAGGGCACACACCATCCAGCCCTGGAGCCTTGCCGTTCTTCAGCTTGTTAATGGCTTCCCTGACCTCTTCTACTGTAATGTTACCAATGTTGATGTCCCAAGTCCTCTTCTGCCTCTGGTATGTCAGCAAACGCTGGTGGATCTGGCCTGTTCAGGATGATCTTGAGGTTCCCTCCACCTCTCCAGCTTGGTGCATTCTTCTGTGATGAGATCTCCATCTGCTGCCTTCACTGGGAATGCTAAAGCTTAATGAGCATGATGCATAATAATGTGACACATGATTTCAAATATAAGCCTTCTGTTGACATCAGCTTTCATTAGATCTACAGTATATAGGTAGTGTCACAGCCTCTTTGTCACGGGTACAAAAGGAGGATTCAATTGCGAATGTGAAATATAACAGTTTATTAGGAAAAAGTCCCAACCAGACCAAAGGCAAGAGTCAAACAAGGCATGTGCAGGATATAGTCACTCTTGGTAGCGCAGGGATGCAAGTGGGCACCCGTGGATATCCCAGGAACATACAATCCTTGGGGGCGAATCCTGGAACCGAAATCCAATGAGACGACGGACAGGAACAGAGAACTGAACACAGCGGGAACACCAAACGATCTGACAACACAGGATGGATAGCACAGGTGTTATATAGCTGAGCTGATGAGCTACAGCTGGCGCAGATCAACAGTCAGCAGCAATCACCGACACACCCACTCACACACACATACACACACAGAGTGAAAATGGGTCAGTGAACCCATGAACCGTGACACTCTTAGCCTGTTGAAAGCTGACGAAGTGTCACATCCATTACATCCACGACTATAGTGTTGTAGGATGATTTTTTTAGGAGGGGGTTCTCCACCCATCATCACATACAATTTCTCAAATGTTCACATAACCAATAGAAAAGTGCACTTTAAATATATAAAAAATGGTTGTCTTAAACATTCAAATCTAACGTGCTCATAACATTTCAAAATAATAGAATGGAATGTTCCTCTAATGTTCACATAACCAAGAAGAAATTTCTGAAAAAAATAGCTGGACATTTTGAACTTTTAAAAAACTTTCATAGCTCAAGGGAAATGTTAGTAAAGCATATTTTTGTTAGCTGCATGCTAAGCCTGGCATAGGGCTTACACACAACTTTTTTTTTTCTTTTTTATGTCCAGCTGGTGAAACCGGCTAAAGACATCAAGCTCAAGAGAAGCTGTAGGGAGGAATAGTCTAAAATTCATCCTTCATGTTGGGCAAGTGCAGCTACAGGACAGATTTGGTAGAGGTTGTTGCTGATTCAGTCTCTTGCTTTTCCAGCAAGCATTTTGCTTTTGTAAGTTAGATAGTGTTTGTCAATAACTGTGACTAAGATGAAGACCAGGCCACATTTTATGAGTAATCAATGCAAGTAAATGTACAAGTTGTTAATATGATATGATTATAATGATTTCATTTTCTATATTGATGCTAATTTCAACCATCCAGACTTCATCATTGGTTATGTACAAGAGGGCATAGATTAAACCTCAAGTTTCTACCTGTTTCTCTTTGATCTTCCTCCAGGTAAATGGCTACATTGCGGCTATATTTAATGTGGGCACAGAGGACATCAACATCGAGGAGAAAGCAAAGTTTGTAAATGATGGAAAGTACCATATAGTGAAGTTCACAAGGAGTGGCGGCAACGCCACACTGCAGGTGGACGATCTACCTGTTATTGAGCGCTACCCCACAGGTGAGACCATCACTTCACACCCCAACAACACCTGCCTTAGCTGCCTGGAACATTACTGGAGGACTGTTTAGTTGACATGAATTTGTTTCTGAATACTGCACATATGTGTCTGTATTGAATTTTTCAACTATGAACATAAAAATCTGAATTATACTTAGCACACCTGTTAGTTAACTGGGTGAAGCACTTGTAGTTTTCTCATGTAATTAACTTGTTGTTCATAATTTAATGGAAAGATGGGCTAAAGACTTGGGTATACTTAATTGGAAATGTTCCCCTCTGTCTCACACACAGTTGAGCGTGCAAGCATTTTGAAATATATTCCTTTGTCTGTGTATGTAGATAGATGTGTTCTAGTGAACCGTCTTTTCAGGCACTCAAATCACTTGTACATACTCTGTTCTCCTCACTCAAGAACACAAAAATTAGCTGCGCACACGGACATCAGCAGACAGTCTGTGAGCTGGAGTGTGCTTTCAGTTTCAGTCCTTTAACTAGTCAGGCAACACTCACATTATGAGAGGAAGTTTTTGTGTATTTGTTTGTTTTTAATGGTATTGTGTCAGCAGGATTTTTGTGTCACATCCCGAGAGTGTTTCTATAGCAAGACATTTACAATCAAGTTTTCTCTCTCAGTTTCAACAAGTCCACCAAGGTTCACCTTACAAAACTAAATAGGTTGAAACAGTGACAGTGTAACAGTGAAAGATCTATAGAGTACATATAAGTGTCTGCTGATTGTTGCTGGCAAGAAGAAAATAATGATGAAAGTCTGGCCTTCCAGGCATGAAGAGATAATGAAAATCCTTTGCGATACTTGCCATCCATCTGTAGAGGAAGTGCTGCCCAAGATCTGTCAAGGCTTTAATTGTTTTGATCCTGTTCTGCTCTGTGTGGACACAATGCACTAGTAAATGGCCCTGTCCTTGGCAGTTTATCAGTTGTTCAGTGTTCACTGAAAATAAAGAAGCAGAATGGGTTGACATTTTTCCAGTTTTCTGGAACTGTTGATCTAGCTAGACACATGGTACAAAATAGAAAATCTCTCCAAATACTTTTATTTTGAATTTAATCACTTTCAAACGTTTAATTGGTGCTAGAGTTTATTTGCAGTAAGTGCAAAAAGTGCTAAAAGTAAATAAACACAAATACTGATAGATGCTATTTATAAATAAAATAACTGTATTTTCTGTGCATTAACTGCAAATAGAATGTAGGTGCTATATTTGCACTAAGAGTAAATAGACAAATGGGATTGTGAAAAGGCAGATTCAAACTTGGGTTGGCAAGTCGCTGGTTGACGATTCTTACTCCCTGCAGCTGGTACCAGATGGATTTCTTAGTTTGTGTAAATAGCCTCTGCCAACAAGATGGGCTATTTCCATTCACTCGCTGAAAATATTGTACAAAAGTCACAAGGGCAGTACCCTTTCAAAGGGTATTAATATGTGCCATTTGGGTACAAATATGTTCACTTTAGTTGCTAATATGTACAATTAAGGTACTAATATGCACCCTTTAGGAGTAAAAATGTTACAGAGCAAAATTACCTTTTGAAAGGGCCCCCGCCCCAGTGACAACTGTTGCCCCTTTCCATTCTAAGAATGTTCGGTCTAAATAGACACTGTTACTTTGTCATTACTCTTAAGCTTAGGTTGTTTCATTTACAAAAAAATTGTTTTTTAGTCTTAGGCATCAACTGGTTGATTCATTTTTCATGAAATAGCTTAAGTATGTTGTTGGCATTGTTCCTAACATTTCTAAGTAAGCCTCTTGGATACCAAGATAGCCAAGTTTAAAAAGCCTTGGATAAGAAAACCAGACAAAGTGTCATAGCTAATGCTATGTGAACACCCCCCACAAGACAGTTATCTGAAGCCCATGGCAATTCATTATCTGATAATGCTAACATCACCATCTGAGGCATTGTGTCAGGCACTGTGTCAAGGCTGCACTCTCTGTATTACTTCTCAGTCGTAGCACAAACTAAGGAGTATGGCAAACTATGTTTCAAAATCTTGTTTCCTACTCAGAGAACCACGGTTACATACATAAGCGAGATGTTCCTTTTAATCTGCATCAGTAGCTGCATACACCATATTATAAAGCATTGGTGTAGCTAGGGGTTCTGGGCCCCTTACACAGATTTTGATGTGGGGCCCCCTCAAAATCATATTCATTGGGTCTCTCTGAGGCTCTGGGCCCTATGCACTTTGTTCCCCTTTCCCTCCGTTGCGATGCCCCAGCTATCCTTTTCCTCTCAAAGGGCAGAGGAGAAAACTGCAACACGACAACTTGAGAGTGAAATAAAGTGGAAATAATCTTGTGTAGATATCCTAGCCATTGGTTGCAATAAGACCTAAACCAGGGTGAGAGCAAAATCCATACAGGAAGAATTTACAGATCAATTCTCCAATCCTTTTGAGAGTTGTCAGAGCCAATAACAAAACCTTTTTTAAGAGTCCTCCTATGAGGCTGACTCTTAACGGCTCAAACAGAAAACCTGTTCAACCTTCTAAAACCATAGATCCAAATAAGGAACACAAACAGAATGGAAAGGCCTAAGCTAGGGTTGTCCAAACCTGTTCCTGGAGAGTCAGTGTCCTGCAGAGTTTAGCTCCTTTTGGTTTAATCCTTATTTTACATTATAGAAAACAAAGTGTTATGATTCAGGGGGGGAGGAGGAGGGGGGGGGGGGGGGCCATCACAGTGAAGTCAGCTGTCTTAACCGTGGCTTGTGTACTGCAAACACAAACCAGCTTCATCACGGTGTCTGTCACGCGACTCTGTTCCCCTTTCGGGTTCTGTCTTTACATTTATTTTGAAAGATGAAGCTT